AAAAAGCTTCCAAGGGGATTGAGCATCAATCATATCCCTTTTGGGAGAAACCATAAAGTACTTAACAACAGATCAATATTATTAATAGTGTTTCACTATGTTAGCAATCATGAGTGCCATGTGCTACAGGTTAACATGTAGCCCATGTGTTCAGATGGCAACAAAGTTGGTCCTGATTGATGAACTTATGGATCACCTACCATGGATGGCATGGCCCGGTCAAGAGGCAAAACTTGAGAAAGGTCAGCGGTTTTAAGATGCATTTGAGATGCTAATTCCTAGATAAAATAGCTTTGGCAGTATCTAATTAGCTTTGAAGTTAACAGATGGTTCCATCAAAACCAACCACATACTGAGCAATGATGGTAATTTGGATAGGCAGGGTGGGCAAGAGGTATGGATTGGGCAATTTGTTGATTGCGTTGGGGCTTGAATTTAAAATATCTTCCCACATCCCGCCCCACCATTACCACCTGAACTATATCCAGTCTATTTGCTATCAGATATAGCCCACAGCAAGTGCATGGCATACATAGAGCTCATAATACTATGATTTTGTCCTTACCCTTTTGTTTTCGGTTGGGGCCTGGGGAAAGTGGTTCAACTAAATCTAATAATAGCAACATGTTCCATGATAAAAATGGAGATGCTAGGACAATATTTTATCTGGACTTTATATTGATTTTGATATTTCTTGGAGATGAAATTTATTGGTGCTATTGCCTTACACCTGGCAGTAGCAGGTTTATGTTTGACATTATTTGCAGCATCAGAAAAGTAAGCATTCATGGCGACATTATAATAGATAAGTGGATTCATATTTATGGCATTTTGCTTTATGCATCTCTCACGATGGTTAAAAACCTGAATAGAATGACTCACAAACATAGCAGTTTGTTCATCTTCTCTGTACAAAGTGCAATCCGGAGGCACTTCATACAGTGGGACCCACTATTTTTCCACATCCCTGACGACTGGGGTCGCATTCCCCCTCATCTCTCAATGGCAGCAAGTGGTGGCATCAGCCTTAGCTGTTTAGGGAGCAGAAAGAGCATTCCCACATACCTAAATACTCAGGAGTATGTCAGGCTCAACCTTTTGGTAAAGACATTTTTGGATCTCCTTGTAGCATAGGAGTTAAACCAAACCCCTTGGAAGTGGGCATCCATCATCCATTTATGGAATTTTCAGATTCCGAAAGGTAGAATTAAAAGTATCAGTGTTGGACTGTGCAACAGCGTTTTTTCTGTCTGTATCAGTAAGTGTCACGGTTAGTCTAATTCAGTTTATGTATTGCTGGGGCCTCTCTTCTTTGTTCACAGTTCAGCTTAGGATCATATAGGTACAGAAAGAAAGAAAGAGGTCATGCTGGTGGGTTTCCTTTCTCTTTCCTCCATAAGCATTTCGGGTGTCCGATCAGAAACATCAAACTCCAAAAATTATTCCTTCTGATTCTCTGTCTTTTTCCATGCACCCAAGGCCAGAGCCTTTAAAATAATAATAATAATCTTCGTTAGTGAGTTGAAAACTGATAAAAGAAATGATATTGCATCCAAACGTGCCAGGGAACGCACCATCTTCTCCGAAGCTAATTTGGATTTTAAAGACAAGCTAAACACTGCATCACCTAACCATTTATTCCCCACAAGGCTTCCTTCCAAATGCTACTCCCCAATTTCATTTGGACTCTCTCTCTCACACTTATCCTCCCTTAAAAAAGTCCTTTTGCCTACACATCCACCAACCCAGCCCTGTCTAGCCTAGCCTCAATACCCTTCCTCTTGGATTTTGCTGCACAGCAGTTGATTCTCCTTTATATTACATCACCCAGAATCATTTGGGATAGCTACAAAAAAGTATACATTAATGTTGAATAGGAAAAAACTATCTTCTATAAGTACCTCCATATGACCCTCGATGCACCAACCGTTTTGACAAACACATCAAGCCATTCCCACAAAGCAGAAGGCTTTTCCCATAATGGGTAGGCAAAGTGGTGATCCTACCATGGTTAGTTCATCAATTGCCCTTTTGCAAGAGAGGTTTAGACAGCTGCAGAAGGTTAGAGAAAAGAGAGAGGAGAAAGAGCTTCTGAAGCTATTCTCTGAATCCGAACGCCTCAGCCCTACCATGCGCTATGAACCTAACAGACTGTCCTTCCAACCTGAGGTGATTCTACCTTACAGGCAACCCCCTCAGGATTCACTCTCTCTTGGACTTAACCCGCAAAGCAGGCAAACCGATTTCAGGGCTATGGGAATCCCAGCATCACCAAGCTTATGGCCTAACAGTGCAGCAACTTCAAGCAGATCTAAAAATTTGAGAATTCTGATGTTGATACTTCTCTCATCTGTAGAGGAATCTTACTTCCTATGTCCTTCATAGTTCCTTGTTAACCTACTTTTCTTTCCTACCCTTTTTGTGGTCTGTAAGAATGGAAGAGTAATATAACTATATCTTTGCTGATAATATACATTGCCGGGTGCATCTTCAGATTGTTCATGCAATCAGAAAGACTGCATTCTGCCGTCTCTTAAGTCTTGTAATTTCTTTCATTTTTCCCTGGCATGTATAGATTCTGATTAGATCTCCTATTCCATAACTATATATGCCGACAAAATTTAGCCATCTTTTTCTTCTGTCATTCTTTGAACATCAACAGTTAACTGATGCTCAATCTAGGAGCAGCTAGCTGGCGTCAAAACTGCTACCTACCAGTTAATATGGAAGATCTCAATCCATAGCTTTGCGTAATAGGCTTATTCACTCTGTGCTGCTGTTCCAATGCAAAAACAACAGAGGAAGAGAAATTTAATTACTGAAAGTGCATTGAAGGAACAGAAGTTGATAACATATACACTATAACTCAGCTTTCAATTACTATGTGTGTGTAAAAATGGAAGCCAAACTTTAATAGCAAAATCATCATTAGAAAGTAGGTAAACCACCTGATTGAGAGAGATGTGCAAAGATTTAGAGGCAGGAAGCATGATAAGAGCCAACTTCTTTTTTGGGTCCTTTGGTTAGAGGTCAATAAAGGAAGGCAGGGTAGGGTAGGGTGGGGTGTTGGGGGGGTGCGTATATTTCTTTTCATAGGAAGATGTTTGGCTGTACTATGATGTCGAGCTTGCTTGTCGTTTAGTGGTATTGTTAACTTGGTGGGCTAAGTTGGGTTTCACTTTAGAGTTGTGTGTTTTTTGCTGCTTGTAAAGTTGCATGATGCGGTGGGTTCTGACTTTTAATCAGATGCCGGCGATCTTCTTTGTTGCTCGTTTCTTATTTTTCTTGTTTGACTGTTGTTCTACATTGGAACTTAATATGACTCTTTTACGCATACTTTTGTGGTGTAAAAATAAAGTTGTTTTGTCGCTGAAACTTCCATGGAAGCATTGACCTGCCTCTTCCCTTTTGTATCTTTGCAAGTGTTTGTTTCTTCCGATTGATAATAAAGAGAAGAGATTGTGATTTTTGTTAGACGCCTAACTCTCTCAGCCACACATAGATTAGATATACACCTGCTCCTGCTCTGACCAATTATTATTCCTAGGTGTGAAATGAAATGTATGAAGAAAGTGATATTTCTGTTTCCTTTACATCTTTCCCTCCCTGCCAATGATTCCGCCATCTCTTTGCTACAATTTTTGTAGCAGACACTTCCACAGTGCTGGGTTCAAGGTAGAGATAACAGAACCTCTAGAATCAATTGTTGGGTGTTAACAAGATTTATGGATCCAAACCTCTGATCTGACGACTAATAGAATTGGGCATGGATTAGGTGCTTGCTAGACCAATAAAATCAGTGATGTCTAACCTATTCATTCATGTTCCAACCACATGGACCAACTTGTTTGGACCTCTCCCAACTCAACAGGAAACATGATGTCAAAATTTATCATTCAATCAAAAGGATAGATTTATATATATATATATATATATATATATATATATTTATGTCAACTGCTAAGCCTTTGTCGTAAGTTAACAATAATGAGGGGTTGGAATTTTACTTTGGAAAGTTGATTGGAATTTATGTAATGCCAATCAAACCATGCTTCAAGTAGAGAGGATATGTTGGAGTATTTTACCTAATAGAGGATCAATTTATTACTACCGGTTGTAGTTGAAACAAGGTAGTAAGAAAGATTAAGGTAGGAAGTTAGCTGTTGTCATATATATATATATATATATATATATGTGGTCTCTCAGTGATAAGAACCAGTAGAAAGAGATTGCATTGTATGTTGTCTCTCAAGATATAACAAGTTCAATCACCCATTGTATTGTACCAATAGAGACTGAGGCACCAGCCAGGTCGCTCTCTTGTCACCATGCATACGCGTCCTCTAGGTGATATAACAACTGCTGCAAAGAGCACGCCATCTCCAATAAGCTCACTCGCCCATTAACCTGCACAAGTTACAATTAAAAGCTCTACAAGGAATTAATAGGTTAAAAAAAATCACTGCAAAATATAACCTTATAATCTTACCACCTTTAATTATTTCTTCAAGTGTGAAAGCTTACCCAAGGTTTAATGCAATAATATATGCTTATTTCTTTTTTTTTTCTTAATTTTTGATTCATTGAATCGTTGAAATCTCTTCAATATATTTGCTTAACAAAATAATTACTAAAATTAATTTATAATAAAAAAAATAAGGCCATAAAATGCTACTTAATGGTTTCATTAAAGACAAAAAATAAAAATAAAAAAAAAGTAGAGAATTCTGTTTTTGTTGGGTACTATGGTGAATTCTTTCTGAAGGTTGTGGCATGGTTTGCAGCCCACATCGTCATGGGCTCTCTCCTGTTTGCTCCAGAGCCTGATAAATGGACTTGGGCCACTCCATTGTCCTGACAGAAAAATTCTTAGGAAAGAAGTTGATGACGTGGCATCACTTGAGCCGTTAGGATTTGTTACACAGCCCCCAGCCTACACCTAATGTACCAAATCTCCACCTTCACGTATCTGGAAGACGAAAATGAGCGAAAAAAAAAAAGTTTTTAAGTTGTCTCCAGAAGCTTCCCAAAACCCATTTCTCCGAGCGAAACCCTACTAAAACCCTCAACGTCTCCCCTTCTCCCCCACCCAACTCACTGAGTCATCTTCCTCAACTCACCAGAAACTTGCTCGCTCGTTTTCTCTGACTCCGAATCATGCACCGCCTCTCCAGGCGCTCTGTCTCCGCCGCCCTCCGCGCCCCCGCCACTCATTACCGAAACGCTGCGGCGGCTCCAATCTCCTCCTCCACTCCCGTCTATGATTCGGTACTCTTTGTCATTTTTCTCCAGTATTAAATCTTCATTTGGATAGGAAACAAACTGTTCCTTTGATTGAAATGAATGAAATGCCTTTTTTTTAATGAAAAAAACGTTTTTCGTTTCTTTTTGTGAGTGATGATTGATTGGAACTAACAGAAAAGTTCCATTTCCAATTTATATTCTTTTTTATTATCTACATTTTCTTTTTTGATAACAATTAATAAAAGGGATTTCTGAAATTATGTTCATTTCTGTAATTTTCTGGATGGGTATTTCATTTTAATATGAACTATGTTTTGTTATATTTTTTTAAATGTTTTATTGGACTATGACCAGGCAGTGGGGAGTGATAACAACACCAGGTGGTACTCTGCAATAACTGGAGGGACGTGTGACACGGCCAGATACTCAACTCAACTGAACTTGAAAAGTGGTTTGTTTTTGGGCAGCCGATATGAGTCAACTGCAGCAGCATCTGATTCCGCAAATCAGCCTACACCTCCAGCTGAGAAATATGAGTATCAAGCCGAGGTATGTTGTGTCAGGGACTTCTATAAATTCTTATTCAGAGTTTTGATGGGTTTTTAGTGATGCTACTGTTTCATACATGGCTGGCAGGTTAGTCGTCTCATGGATCTTATTGTCAACAGCTTGTACAGCAATAAGGAGGTGTTTCTTCGGGAGCTTATCAGGCATGTTCTGGGAAGCCATTTGTCCATTCTTGGATATATTAAATTACCATGGTTTTTATAGTAACAATCAGCAACTCAAATATATGACATTTTTTGAGTAAGACCATGAAGGAACAGATTGACATTTGATTCTAAAGATTAGAATTAGATTAGTATTCTGTGTTATCTGTAGTAGATAGGCCAATTTGTGCATTTTTTTAGTCTTTTAACAATCTTTCCTTCCAATAACTCTTAGTTAATAAAGAGTTGTTTCTTCAATAATTGAACTTTAAGCAAAAAATCAAGTTCTATCAATATGATGCTTGATATCCTCAAATCTAATTCTTTTTGAAATTGTGAATTTGTTTACACAGCAATGCAAGCGATGCCTTAGACAAGCTACGGTATCTAAGTGTTACAGAGCCTCTGCTTTTAAAGGATGCTGTTGATCTTAACATCCGTATCCAAACAGACAAAGATAATGGGATAATAACTATTACGTAAGTTTATGAGCTTTAAGGAGCTTTGGTTGGTGATTTGATTTTAGCAATGCTTGTAATACTACTTTGTTTTCTACAGTGACTCTGGCATTGGTATGACTCGGCAAGAACTTGTAGATTGCCTGGGAACTATTGCACAGAGTGGAACTGCAAAGTTCTTAAAAGCCGTGAAGGTCTAATAAATAACTTAACATTTTATCTCCTGATTTTAGTTTTAATTGTTAATGGGCTTCAAGGAAATGTTTCATTTTGCAGGAAAGCAAGGATGCTGGTACCGATAACAATTTGATTGGTCAGTTTGGTGTTGGCTTTTATTCAGCATTTCTTGTTTCTGATAAGGTATATTGTTAACTTATTATACTTGTCATCGTAGATGTGAGTTCAGAAGTTCTCCTGTGCCAGTTGCTAATGTAGTTCATTGTATTTGTAGGTTGTTGTCTCAACAAAGAGTCCAAAATCTGATAAGCAATATGTATGGGAAGGAGAGGCAAATGCTAGCTCTTATACCATTCGGGAGGAGACAGACCCAGAGAGTCTCATTCCTAGAGGAACACGTCTTACATTGTATCTTAAGGTCTCTTAAGTAACAAACAATAGCTTAGTATCTTTATCCATCATAAATCTTGAACTTAGTTTGTTTCTTGTTCTATGTGTGCTTTCAGCGTGATGACAAAGGTTTTGCACATCCAGAACGGATTGAAAAGCTTGTGAAGAACTATTCACAGTTTGTTTCGTTCCCAATTTATACTTGGCAGGAGAAGGGAATCACTAAAGAGGTGCTGTCAATATTTGCATTTTTCTTGATGACGTCAATCAACTAGTCTTTGGGATAACTAATTTGTTATGTTTGGCTTTTCACAGGTTGAAGTTGATGAGGACCCAGTTGAAGCCAAAAAGGATGGTCAAGATGAGAATACTGAGGTGGTTACCTTGTTTAATTATACTTTTCTGTGTCATCATCTATCGGCTGGTTTGTAGCATGCATGTGATTGTTTTGTGACTTCGATGTAACAGAAGAAGAAGAAAACTAAAAAAGTTGTTGAGAGGTTTTGGGATTGGGAGCTTACAAATGAGACTCAACCAATTTGGGTAAGTTGTAGAATTGGTTAATTTATGTGTTTGCACCTATAAAATGTTTCATATATTTCATTATCGTTAAATTCATTTTTGCAGCTTCGCAAACCTAAGGAGGTGACAACGGAAGAATACAACGACTTCTACAAGAAAACTTTTAATGAATACTCGGATCCACTAGCATCATCACACTTCACAACTGAGGTAGTAACGGGGATTATCATTTAGTAGGAAGCTATTTGCATCTACTATGAAAACTTTCTGCAATAAATTTTGGATAGCAATTGCCTGGAGTCAAGAAATTTGACTACGGCTTTACTATCCGTTGAAGCTAATGTTGCTGAAAAGATGTACAATTGAAATAGGGCACTTGCATCACTCATCTAAAACATTTCTTATTTCACTTTGTAAGTTTAAACATTGCTTTTGCAGGGTGAGGTGGAGTTTCGTTCTGTACTTTATGTTCCAGCTGTTGCTCCGATGGGAAAGGATGACATAATCAATTCCAAGACAAAGAATATAAGACTTTATGTTAAGAGGGTCTTCATTTCAGATGATTTTGATGGAGAATTGGTAATCAAATGTCTTTCCTTGATATGCATGAGAGGAATGTACTTGTTTGAAATGAAATCTGACTTGTGTATGCTTTTTTGTGTTCTCTGTTCAATAGTTCCCTCGATATCTAAGCTTTGTGAAGGGTGTTGTAGACTCAAATGACCTTCCGCTCAATGTTTCACGTGAGATTCTTCAAGAAAGTCGCATTGTACGTCTTGATAGTGCTTTCTTTTTTTTTTTTCCAAAAGTCTTGTTAGATATTGAAACAACTTGTTTTGTCAAAATTCTTCTAGCTATAACCTTTTGCCGCTTTTGAAGGTACGAATCATGAGGAAACGTTTGGTCCGAAAAGCTTTTGACATGATTCTGGGAATATCCATGAGTGAAAATAGAGGAGTATGCCTGATAAACTTTTCTTCTCTCTTCATCTCTGCCTTGTTTCTCTGATTTATTTCTTATGTGACTGAGACTTAAACCATAGCATGGCTTATTGTGGAATTTAATATTTCATTTTGTGAGCAAATATGAATGAAGCAGCATCTTATGCCATTATGTTTTTGTATGCTTAACATCTGCTTGCATTGTAGGATTATGAGACATTTTGGGAGAATTTTGGAAAACATTTGAAATTGGGATGCATAGAAGATCGTGAAAATCACAAGCGTCTCGCTCCGTTGCTTAGGTTCTTCTCTTCCCAAAGTGAGGATGAGATGATTAGCGTAGATGAGTATGTTGAGAACATGAAACCTGAGCAGAAGGATATTTATTATATTGCTGCTGACAGTGTGACTAGTGCTCGGAATGCACCTTTTCTGGAAAGACTTCTTGAGAAGGATCTTGAAGTACACCTCTTTCTTTAAAATAATAAAAAATCTATATTGACTATTTTCTTGTGCTTCATTTTAAATGAAGATTTTTGGGTGCTATCTTCCTAGGTCCTCTATTTGGTTGATCCCATTGATGAGGTTGCCATTCAAAATCTTAAATCATACAAGGAGAAGAATTTTGTTGACATTAGCAAGGAAGACTTGGATTTAGGTTAGTGTGTGAATCTTCTTGATCTCATGAAGTTTTACATTTTAGCATTGGGTGTTCACTAAAGCTTTCAGTCATCCTTATACAAGATTACTTCTGTGAATGACTTGTTAGGACATTGATTCTCATAATAGTGGTTACATTTTCCCTATATGTTAATGGTTTGATTTCTATAGGTGATAAGAATGAGGAAAAAGAGAAAGTGGTCAAAGAAGAATTTGGCCAAACTTGTGATTGGATTAAGAAACGGTTGGGTGAAAAAGTTGCCAGTGTTCAAATCTCAAACCGTCTGAGTTCATCACCCTGTGTTTTGGTATCTGGGAAGTTTGGTTGGTCTGCCAACATGGAAAGGTGAATATTATCTTATTTAAGTTGCTGTTGTGATTAAGAATTTTCTTTAGCATTAGTTAACATGGAACTGGTTCTTTTGTAGACTAATGAAGGCACAAACAGTTGGTGATACATCTACTTTGGACTTCATGAAGGGGAGAAAGGTGTTTGAAATCAATCCTGAGCACCCAATTATTAGAGACTTGAATGTACGGTGACGGAACAATAAACTTAATCTTACCCCATGCATTATCTTTTTGATTTTAACTTCTTGCACCATTTGCAGGCTGCATATAAGAGTAATCCAGATGATGAAGATGCCTTGAGAGCTATAGATCTTTTACATGATGCAGCACTTGTTTCTAGTGGATATACGGTGTGTTTTGTCACTTTTTCTATAGTTTTCTCTGAGTTGCATAGTATGTTGCACTAATTTAGAATATAGCTGTTTCTTTACAACATACAAATTTTAGGATAGTTTATTCTATGGGCTGAAGACACCTTGCCTTAGAGCTTTGTAGATGCCAAAGATTTGAAAGTTTCAGTTATTGACTGTTGTAAACAATGTCTCTTGTCTTGTGAATGTGTTGGTAGTCCACAAATGTATTATATGCCTAACTTTGATATGTGATTGTGCAGCCTGACAATCCTGCGCAACTTGGTGGTAAGATATATGAGATGATGGGAATGGCTCTTTCAGGCAAATGGTCAACACCTGAAGTCCAGCATTCAGGATTGCAACCTCCCCATGCAGAGACATTGGAAGCTGAGGTGGTTGAGCCTGTTCAAGCTGGTGGTCAGAAATGAAAAGTGCATGGTTTTGTTTTTCCTTGCTCCTTCTATATGCATATATCAATATATTCAGTAAAGTTTGCCAGGGCTTCCTTACTAAGTTTTGATGTAGTGCCTAAGGTTTTTTCTTCTTTTTTTTTTTTCTTTGTTGTTGGCACAATCTAGTGCTAAGTTAAGTGAATACTTGGTTCATAAGTTGCATTGAGAGTTTGAGTAGATCTGACTTGGACGAAAATGTGAACCTTTACGCTCTCTTGCCCATTCTATAGCCGCTTAGCCATAGGTTGCTGTTTCATGATTTATGCAAGAAACTAAATGAGAAATAGATTAACTGGCGTCCTTTCTTCTTTCTTTTTAGTTTGCTTCCCCTTTTTTTTTTTTTTTTGCAAAAAGGGAATATTCAGCAGATCAAGTGGTCCGAGCCTAGTGATTGCTTTATCAAAGCAAATAATTCTTCTGACCAGTGAAGAAGCCCGGTTGCCTTGTAACCAAATGAAATCTAGAGTGCCAAAAAGGTGTGGTTTAGCTGAAGAATCTCGGCTGAGCTGGAGTGTAACCCATTGGCTAAAATTGATATAACCCGTTTTCAAACTCCTCCACCAAGTCCACTTCAACCACGAGACTAGACATACGCTGGAAAAACTAGACCTCCTCGGTATGCCAAGGACTTCTGTTCCAAAGGATTTGCCTGAGCTTGACAATGTCTCCATCTGTAGAGCTGTTTCTTGTTTCAGCGATGTTAGAGATATCTAGTTATGAGTTAGAAACAGGTGGAGCAGGCAGGGCATTACCAAATGATGCGCCTGCATTCTTGTCATGATTTCCACAATCAATCTGTAATTTTGATGTATTGCGCTTGGTCCAAATAGCCCATACACCCCAGATATATATTGAACATGCACTCACACTAAATTAAGTTTATTACTTCTTTCTTTCTTTCTTTCTTCCCTTTATCCATCAACTTACTAACTGTAAAATATTTTGCCTCCAATTCCATTATTCGAGGATATATTGGTCCCTTAGTAAATCCAAATGTTTATACATCATTTCTTATGAAATCTTTCAATTATTTTGACAAAATTCAAATGAATTTTTATTCTCTTATTTGAGTTTCCGATGTACTAGGCTTATTGTCATCTGGACAACCTTGTTGCTCACAGGCCACAGTTATATATTTATAGCTCCCTGCTGACGTGGAATCATTTATAGAGAAGCAAAGGAGTTCTGGGGTTGTGGTTAGGGCATGCAACTTTGTCTGCAAGCCACACGTTGATCACTTTAGGAATGTGACCCAAAACTGTTTACAAGTCAGCTCAGCCAGTTTTTGGGGGACTACGTGCCTACCTGTTGTAAACATTCTTGATTAAGTACATTGAAGCACTGACCATATCCAAATTCTTTTTGGTATTCCCAAAAGAGAAAAAACCATAGTTATATACACGCAAAGCATGTAGTAAATAATAGTTCATTTTTAAAAAAAAAATTATATTTTTATTTTAAATTAAATAAATTTTATAATTAATAGTTGATTAATAATTATTAATTAAAATATTTTTTATCATTTAATATTAAGTGGTATTTAAGTGAAATTTTAATATTTTATAATTGATAGTGATATGATGTGCTTATATGATATAATGATATAATCACGTGATATTTTTTATTTTTTACTTCAATATCACGTGAGTATAAAGTAACAAGTAACGTTTGAATTAACATCACATAATCGACTGTTAGTTAAAAAAATTTGTTTGATCCAAGATATAAGTGAAAGAGATTTAATTAAAAGTGAAAAAATAATAAAAATTTTAAAAAAAATTAAAATAATTTAAAAGTTTTTTAAAAGTAAAAAGAATTAGAGAACAATTAAACACATGACAGGGATAGTTTATCTACACTATAATATTTATTTGATTATAACTTCATGGTTCTAGCTCATGCATCAATGAACTCTTAACTCGCACTACAATTTTATTAATTAATAACAATATTAACAAAAAAATATTGACGGATATAGATAATTACTACATTATTCTTTCTAAATTTGATGAGAAAATAAATACATTAAATAGACATAATTGCACAAGCTGTATCTTAGTTATTTTATTTTTAATTTCATATTGACCCATTCAATTCATCTTCTAAAAGAACTTTTATTTCATTATTAAAGTTGGCCCCCAAAACTTCTGAAAACTACATCTTTATCCCACGTCGGCATCACCGTCGCATATTCAGGAAACAAACGTGAACCTTTGGATCAAAAAAGGCTATAAATCGAATGTCCCCATTTTCTTGAGCGACTCTCCGACTCTGGTCAATCTCTCCTTCTCCAGTCTCCGCCGATCGGACTCTACGACTCGAACCTCGTTAAAGGTATAACCTTTCCTTCAATTCTACTCTTTTAATTTTAGGGTTTTGTTTCATGATTTTAGTTTCATTTGAGTTTCGAGTTTGTTTGATTAGTGAAATGCGCTGGGTTTTAGTTTTTGGTTTCTCGATTAGGTAAACATTTCCTAGTTGGTTGAATTTGGAATTGGGTTTTTTGCTAGGTTTTGACTTAGATTAGGGTTTTGACGCATCGATATCACATAGTTGACTGTACGGGATCAGAAGAATTCATGTTTGAAACGGATTAGTTTAGGATTTTTTGGGGTTATTTTGTATGATGAGCCTTTCCTTTTTTTT